CAAAGGGTCAGTGGAATTGCTGTAGTGTAATTTCTAAAGAGAAGAAAAGCTATTTGGTCGAATTTCTATTGAGAGATCCTCAGCTCTTTCATCACAGCTGAAGTTCCCTCAGTTTCTCAGCAGCTGATGTTCCCGCGTACCGGTCCGAGTTTGACTGAGTGGCCGGTGCTTTCACAGTACTCACTGCCTTCAAGTATTTTAGCAAAGACACTTACTATTCAAGTCAGTCAAAAAGTCATCAGCTGCATCTGAAAGTGTCAGGCTATGATCCACAAAAAGAGCCCTACTTCTGAGTATATCTGTATGGCTTGACAGAAGGTCACACGACAGATAAATATCATATGTGAGTAATTCTGTCACCCTATTGACACATTCACCAACACCTTCAGGGAAAAACAAAAAACAAAAAAAACCAAACCAAAAAACAGTATCCTCCCCTATCCAGCCACCTTTCCCCCGAAATGATGAGTCTGGAAAAAAGACACCACATTCTATACTGACAATAACATGCACTTCTTTTTATTTTGCTGCTTGAAAAGCCGTTTCTCCACCCTGCCTGCAAACCCGTAAATTCTCTTAAATGCACCAATTTTTCCAGGAAATGTGTAAATTCACTGTATTTTTTTTAAGCTTCACACATTCTGTACTACTTCAGAAAACAGTAATGCAAATATTAGCTTTTATGCACTTTTGTCCATGTTTGAGAACTGAATCCAACAAGAATTTTTGTCTTAAAATAGAAGAAAAACAAAGACGCAGGTGAAATAGAACTGGAAGGCAATGACTGTGAGCTCTAGCAAGATACATGGTATTAGTCCATTCATTTAACCTTTTTTTCTTGACTTTACCACCTAGAAAATGCGGGTTAGGATTTATGCTTTCCTTCCCCATATATTATAAATAACATCTACAGGCAGGGCATCTTACAAGTTCCAAGTGTTATTTTTCAGAAGTACCAGTGAGCCTCTCAAAGTTGAATATCAACTTCTTGGGTTTGTGCTCAATCAAGCTTTTTCTCTTTCTCCTTTACTATGAGTCCTTCGTATCTTAGTGACATTTTAAGAAAGAGTTGAACTCAGCAAACAGCTTGAAATTGTCCCTGTTTTTAACTACACCTAAATACAGAGCCGTTGAGAAAGGAGCTTTAGTTTGTATCCAAAAGAAAACAGTGAAGCCAGCCATCAATCAGCATCTCACATGGAGGTTACAGCCTTCTTTCACTTCTTCAGGTTGATTTGTGGCTTCTTTTGATTTTTTTTTAAATTTTTTTAATAATAAAAAGAAAAGGATTACTGGCTGAGACTTTGTGTCATTATAATGCTTTTGAGGAGACTAACATTCTTACAGTAGTACATGTAAAACAAAACTAAAAATAACAACAAAAAAAAAATACCCAAAAGCAGACCGTGAATGTCTGACAGTTACGTAAAAAAAAAACAAGAGATACCAACAAAATTTTTAAGTTCTACTTTAACTGCATCCCTTTTTGCCAATGTGCACCCATATAGACTTTGATTACAAGATTGTATACAGCTTTTCAAATATTCAATATAATAGCATACACTTTTTCCTAATTTCAGATGTTTATGAACTGAATCTTCTAAAACTGCTCTGTATGATTTTGTTTATTCCCAAATAGAGTCCATTAAAGTCATTTGCATGGAAAACACAGAGTAAGGCATTTCACAAAACATATTACCAAGCAATAGTAAACATTTTCAGGCAAACAAAAGCCACCTATGCTTCTAGCTAAATTAGCATCATAGTTAACTGCCTCATCTCCTACATGGCATGTCTGGAAGATAACAGTTCCCATCTGAACAGGTAAATGGGCTAAATAGTTAAAAGCTTCAGCCCTTTAAGTGAACATAATAAATGGTGTGCTGATGGACAGAAAGAAATTGTGTATGGTTCAGTCCACAATCTGATTACATGTTAAGCACCTCCCAAGAGGCACTCGGAATTACTCAGGATTGAATCCAAGATGATTAAAATTCATAACATGGGGAGAAAAAACCTACAATAAAAAAAAAAAAAAAAAAGAGGCAAAAAATCTCAGTCACCTCTGACTCCTATTAGTGTAAAACGAATGGAAGTCCTCCAGAGGTTTCTCCAGAGAGACACAAGAAACATGTCCCTGCAGCCTTAAGAAAATAAAGACATTTTTTTCAAAAAACAAACAACAAGCATTCTGCCAATAAATGGATGTAAGGATGCAAGAAGGAAGGCTGCAACATACTTCAGATACGGATCTAAAATCTTGTTAAACAGGCATAAAAACACTGAAAAATTATTTTAAGTGAAAGATCTTACTGAGGTGAATAGGAATTCTGTTACATTATTCATAAGGAACAGGATTTTACCCTGCATGATCATGTAATTAAAGTGTCGGAATGCACACACCCAGGAGGACAGAGTTAACGCTGAACATGGAATTAACATTGGTATTTCACAACTCTTGAATGATTGGCCCTGTAACCCTAACATTCCCTGAATGCTGCCTTCCAAACAGGATCACCTAGGGCTTTGTGAAATTGAATAGTGGTAGGGAGAAAATAGTCCCTATTGCAGCTCCATTTGCCTGAGTGTTTCTGAAGCATTTTTATCTCACAGCCCTTAAAATCTGGAGGAAGCTTCCTTGTTCCTGGATGTGCAGTTAGATTGGCACCCTGCAAAACATCCTGAATGTAAGGCAGTGCAGGACTGACTTCCCCAGGAGCAGAGCACTCTGCAGAACACAAGGCAGAGTCTGGTTGCTGCTTCCACTTCACTTGATGAGAGAAGTGAGTAATGCCAGCTCTTTGCTTGCTGTAGCTTCCTCACCAAGCAAAAAAAAAAAAAAAAAAAACAAAACGAAAGAAAATCCCCAACATTCTTATCCAAATCTCAGTCTTCTCAGTCCCTACCTGCCTGCAAAGGATTTGAAACAAGATGGCAATATTTTTACAGGGAGAAGAGGGGGAGGAAGGTGACTGCTGCTCACTTCAGAGTGGTACTACACATAACATGTTAACATAGAGAAAGAAAACCACTTCTTCACCTCTTTGCTCCCCTGCGTGGGAATGCAGCTTCGGTCATGATTGCACCTCAGGAACCACACAGTAAAAAGCCTCTCCAGTGAGAAGGTTAGGAACTGGGCACATCTTATCTTATAAGGTGCTCAGCAAGGGCTCTGTTTCCAGGAAGATGGGCCTCATTTTGCAAGTGCAAATTTTTATCTGCTTCTCCTACAAAACGAATTGCTGGTATAAATGTGAGTTCTTGAGCCAAATATTCATACTGCCAATACAAAAGCAGGCTGGGCACAGACTGTTTCAGTAAAAAAAGATTTGTTTTGCAGAAGATATCTGCTTATGAATGCTAGGACTCCTGTAAAGGACGGGAAAGACCAGACTGTGAAGCTAAAAATAACCGCCCACATGCAAATACCATGTACTCTAGCACTGTCACGGCATCTTTGGCCATAACATATCAATTGCATGAGTAGGAGAATTGCTACAAATCAAAAGCAGTCTTCAGTCGAGTATTTAAAGACACTTCTTTTGTAGGAGAGAAATTCCAATTTGTAAGCTACACTCCGTTTTTATCACCGGGCAAGAATGCCAAATACGCCATTTTTCAGAGGCATAAGAGAAGCTCCAACCTGAGAATAAATTTGCCTAAAAGGCAAACTTATGAAGACAAGCAGCAGCTGCATGGCATCAGAATGAAAACTGCTACATAACCTAAAACTTAACAAAAGCTTTCAGGACTGCTGTAATAAGACACAATATTTCTGATTCCAGCACACCTTTCTTAAGGGCTCAATTGTGCAAAGTACCAGCCCCAGTTCAGAAAATCACCTAAACACAACCACAGCTCTAATACAAGAGCAGTTCCCTATTTAACTTGATTATTCAGTTGGCATGATTAAATTCTAAGTGCTTAACTGTGTTCACACAAACTTCAAGTTTTTTGTCTCAGTAGGACGAAATAAGTAAGATGAAACTCATTGCACTCATATATTTGAAGCAGTGGATTTCAGGTTACTTCATCTCCTTTTCTGTAAGCAAGCCATTCTGTCAAAAGCTGTCACTCCTTTGTTTTCTATGCATTTGCTATATTTTAACAAAAAACTCTATTTATTGATTCTGATATGGCATAGAAAAATGGGGTTTTCTTTCAATAAGGTGATTACACATAAACCTTAAATACAAACACAAGAGGGGTTTTTGTTTGGTTGTTTGGTTGGTTTTTCCTTTATAATCGCTGAAGGAAGTGTCTTACCCACCAGCACAAGGCGGTGAATGAGCTGAGGCCCAGATTCACAGCTGTGCTCAGTGTGCTCCATGTGAAGTGACGGGCGTGCAGAAAGAGCCATTTGGGATGCCCTGATGGAAGGGCTTGCTCTGCACTGGCCTGGTGCCCGTCAGAGGGAAGGTAAAGCCGCAGGGCTGTGCTAAGCACGGAGGGCAGTGAGGCCCCCAAGGTACCAATCTGCCAGTCAGACAATGTCAAAGCAAAGCAGTAGCACAGACATGTCCTCCTTTTTACTTGTCACATCCCCAGACACCTGATGCTTTCTCTCTTGCCTTCAGTAGTGCTGATCATCAGGGAGCAAACAACATAACCCAGAAGTTGTATTTTCTGGAAGCAACTGTTAGCTCTTGTAAAAGAGGATACATCCTTATGTTTCCCTATTCCTATGTAAAAAAATACATCTCATATCAGTAACAAAACATTTTCTTTGTATTAGTTGTGGTAAAACACTTTCATTATCATACTCGTTAAAGAAGCACAGCTAATATGTAGAGCTCTTAAGGAAAATTGCAAAAGGAATCGGGAATGTAACGTGTTGCTGTTTTCAAGTGTTAAACACGTTTCTTTTTCAAAATAGGAAATTTTGCCCCATCCTGCCTTAAATCAACCGTGCTAACAGAATTACAATTTTCAGCTTGCACCACACAAACACATCAAAAAGCAAGCATCTGCACTCTCCAAAGGTTGTTTAAATCCCCTACCTTTCCTACATAGAGTGGGTCTGTACCCATGTATTCTTCCAGCACAAAGAACTGATTCCACACCCAGCTGCGTTTGGTTCTCGTCCTCCCTGATTGAAAGTAGGGCTTTGACCTGGACCTCGAGAGCTCTGCTTGATTCATCCCAGCAAGGCACAGGAGAAGAGCCAGTATTTGCAGAAAATGGCAGAATTCCACTTTGCCCAACTTCATCTTTTTTTTTTTTTCCCCCGTGAAAGAAAAAACCTTGACAAGAGCAGACACAATTCCAGTTGTCTCAGTAGCTCTAGCCTCCGGCAGGGTGTCAGCTGGGAGTCCAGAGATAATAATTTGTGGAGTGGTCAATTGGAAGAAGTCACCACTGCTGAATAGCCTTCACCCTAGAAATGGTGTAATAGGTACCTGTCCAGGAAAAAGACAAGAACTGTTGTCAGAACTTTTTTTTCTTTTTAAATAGAATGTAAATTCTTTGCAGCTTTCACATAATGCATCAAAAATGTTTATGTACAATTTTTCTCATCACCAGAACAGTTGACTTCACATAATAGGTCTCAGAGTTTAGAGCGCATTCCTTGGATGGCATTACTGCTGCTGACACAGCCGTATTCATAGCTGTAAAGTTTTCTCACGACTGTTCTCTTAATACACCTGTTTCCCCAGTACAAATGCTGAAATTTTTTCTCTTCAAAATAATTAAAGCAAGTGTAGTTATTCACAGTTATTTGGCTTGATTTTTCCTCCTCTATCTGCTACAGTCTGCTTTACTTGCCATTACCATGACGTACTTACAAACCAGCTACAGGCAAGAAGTTGTATTAATGGCAAGGACATATGCTGGCTTAGCTCTCTTCCACATAACCGAAAAGTAAAATAAAGGAATATAAGATGAATCAGAACAATTTGATTGATTCTTAGTCACAGTACACCAGATGTTACGATTTATTCTCATCTGAACCTGACCCGCTAAAAAGCCCTCAGTCTCCCCAGTCATTTTTACTACATTCCTAAAGCAAATGTCAGGCATGGTTAAGAAGGACATTGGACTGGTTTATATACTTATACACAAATATGTTCAGAAAGATCAGAGGATAATGTGATTTTGCGATTTCAATGAAACCTTGAATTAATGACGACTGATTTGTCAGCACTAACACATACAATTTTTATCTTTTTGTGCATCTTGTCCCTTTTTTATTTAAAAATCTTGATCATTTAATAAGTGGTAGAACTCACTAAAAAAACTATCATTTACAAAAAAAACCCTTCAGTACTTAAACAAGTCTTTTTTCTGCTTTTTACAATCGTGACCCTTCTCTGGCCAAGTAAAAATAGTAAAATATAAATAAGTAAAAACTTAGTATAAGGTTTTTAAAGGTATAAGTTCTGTCAGTCAGAACCAAATGTAGCTTTGCCTTTCAGAAGAATCACCTGCATCAACCCCAGGTAAGTAACGCTCTCTCTGAAATAGGCATCCTCCTTGTCTGAGTGAGCTGTGAGGCCGATGAGAAGTATTTAAGAAGTGCCAAATGCAAGGTGAAAATGAGGATGGAATTAAAACAGAAAGCAGGGCATTATTTTGGAGTGAACCGCTGCTACTTAGGAAGCCATGGAAGAAAGAAGCTTTCATCCTTTCTACATTTAATTAATCTAAAAAGGCTAGACATTAAATCACGTACATATTAAATGCTCTAGATAGATTATCATTATATCCCTACCCACTACTACTAAAACTGAGTGAAATGTGATCTCGGCTATCTGTTTTCAGTATGCCAGGCTCTTTTAGCTGCAGAACGCCTATGCATCGTGCTGCCAAAGGTACCTAGAGTGCAGAAACACGAAACAAATAAAAAGCTCTTCTGATTACAGACTATATGTAAAGCCTTTTTCTAGTAATCCCTTCTGTGGTACTGCCCTGCACCAGAAAGGCTTTGTTTAGAGACTGGTGGGATAAACCACAAACCCACTGGGCATGTTTGCTAAGCAGTAGCAATTTGAAAGCTTCCATATGTGAAAATTCAGTGTCTCCCTATAGGCAACACAAAAACAATAGCCAATGCCTTACCTAAAGACCCTAACTTCCGAAATGTGATGCTACAGCTATAGAAGATGTCTCTCCAACATGACCGACTCTTTTCACAGCGGGATTAACACCCAGGTGTCATCCTCACTAGCAGAGCATAGTTTAACATGATTAATCCCAACCAGTCATACCTCAGTTTTGATCTGGGCCTTTGTGTAAATCGTGACCACATGACATTGTAATTACTGAGAGGGCTGCTATGACTGTTAAGGAGAGTAGCTGTGCTTCCTCCATGAGCAGTTCACTTCCTACCACTCAGTTCAAATAAGATAAGCGTTGTTTGTAGTAGAGGCTGTTCGTGCATCCTCTAGTCTTTCCCTCACTGTGCCCAAGTTACATCAGGTTAAAGACAGCTGATATTGATAAACTGTCAGTTTATTTCAGAGAGGCAGCAGATTGTTATTTAACAGAGATAAAAATACGAAATGGATTTTCTTAAGAAATGTCAGTAAAACATTTACAATATGTTAGAGTCTTTTCACTAAGCAGTTTGAAATGTCTTGTTCTTGCTCTGAACAGACATTTCAAAACTAGAATTGCTCTAACCTTTATCGCGAACAGTGTTCTCTTATATCCTTTCTTTTACACCTGCAGGAAAGTATGAAAGCCACCATATGGAGTGCCACGGTCCCCAGCCACACGCCACAGCGCATAACTGAAAAACGCACCCAAAATACCAACTGAAAACCAGTCCATATGCTAGACAGCACAATCTGATGAAAAGCAGAATACTCACACCCCCTAGAAAAAAAATTGTTGTTGTTTACTCATTCTCAAATACTTTCACCACAGTCTCCAGAATTCCAATTATTTTTATTCAGCTGTGTGGCAGCACTTTCTGCTCTGACACCCTCTTCCCTCCCTTCCTCCCCTTCTTCAGGATAAGTCTTTCTATTCTTATTAGAGCCCTTTTTTTTAGGTTTTTATTTATAGTTCTTTCAGCACATTGCCTTTTGAGTGCGATACTTCCCAAAGCAGAAGTAAAAGTGTCTAGTGTTTAAAAATCTTTTATATTTTGGGAATAATTATTTATTAAATTGCATGTCATTACCTTTCTTACTGATATACATATTTATATGGATTTTTTAATATTAAAAAAATATGTTTCTGTCCAAGCATAACTAGCTCTTCAACTATCACCTGTTCTATGAAATTCATAAGCATGAAGTCCACAAGTCCACATAATCAACATCACATCATTCATAAAAACTGAAAAGTAAAAGGTGCTGTTGGGTTTTTTTTCCCCTCGTCAAGACATAACTTCAATGTTCAGAGTTGTACTCGCAGAAGTGGATATGACTAACACTGACAGCAATAGAGGGAATGCGGTGCTCTGATTCCAGTGCCTTCTCTGTCAGCTGCGTTTACAGGCTTGAGCGTGAAGTGAAGGCAAAGCTGACCTGCAACCATTTTGTATTTTGTGTTTAAAGATGCTCTTTTATAAAATGGTATCACTTTCTGCACCAACAGGACTCAGAGTACACAGAACTGAGAAATATTTGCACTTGTAATTGATGTCATTAATTACGCTAGGACACAAGTGCACCTTTATATCTTGTTTCTGGATCTCCAAAATGCTACTCCCTCCCCCTAAACAGAGGCAAAATGCAATCATGTCTCCTCACTCATGCTTTGCCCCCATAAAAAGTAATTTAGGCTTTCAAAATAGTCTGCTGGTATATTTAAAGCACTAGGCTCTACCTTCTACATCTAAGCTTGTATTCCCTATTTACTTTGCATATAGTCCTGAAAATCACAAATATGAAAAATGTAAAGTATAAAACCTGGTGTGTAATTCAAAGAGTATGTTATGTGATCTGGACTGTGCACGCAGTATGTCTTACTAACATTAACATTATTAACTAACATTATTAACACGCTGTCTACATGAACAGGCAGAAAAATAAAAAAAAATTATAAAAAAAATCCTCTAAATACCTAATCACTCATGTTTGTGTTCTTAAATAGCTAGTTAATATATAAAACATCAGACTGAAGAATATACTTTTGAAAAAATAATAACGTCCTTATTCAATATATGTCTTAAAACTTACATTTTCTCCCATCTGCTGTATAGAAATTGAACTATATTTAAGCCACTATAGTAGAAGTAGTGTGCTAGTGAACACTGCTAATCTGAAAAATGTTACTACTCTACTTTGCCAAAACAATCTGCTAGTGTCAAAAAGACACTATTATGCGCTGTCTCCAAGGGGCAATCTTGATTTGTTGAAAACATTCAGATCATGAATAAGATCCTCAGCTTTAAGGAATAGTTCCCCTCACTGCAAGCAATTAAGGGTAATTTACACCCACTGAAAATCTCTCCGAATATTTTGCTTCACTCCGTAATTTCTAAAACAACGCATCAAGCCTAGTCCTCACTGTTCGCGTGTAGCAGCGAGCACCAGTAGATACGGGCAAAACATGCCTTGGGTCTCCTAGATATCCTTATGGAAGCCCTCTTTCCCCACCCCTGAGATTTTTCCTGCCTTGTAAAGCTGTTTGCTGAAGGCTTTTGAGATCTTCTTCGTACCACCTAACCTTTGCAACCAAAGTGAAAATTCCTGAAGACTTCCACTCACACATTGCTATCAGTGTCACAGTGGCAGCTTAATCTATGAAACATATCATTTCCCTGTCAACCTCTTCATCCCAACAGGGACTTTTGTCCTTCACCATATACTGTCTTAAATTCTTTCCAATGTGCAAAATTCTTCACAAAGAAGTGGAAATACAAAACCTTTTCCATTACTGAACTCCACCAGTCTGGATTACATTTCTCTGTTTTGAAATCTCGCTGTCAGCTCAAGGCATCCATTGAAGGTGTAGCTGAAGAGTCTTCCACTCCTATTGCCTTCCCTCTCCCCACTCCATTATTCTCCTCTCATCAAATTGCTTCAACTTTTGACACCAATGCAAAATTTACTGTGTAAACCTGGACCTCACTGTCTCTGAAAGTGCAGCTCAGACACCACCTGCTAGTAAATCTTGCTTTACCTTGGTCAATAGTGCACAGTTATCTCCTGTTTGGGGTTTTTTTTGTTTACTGTAGTCATTCATAAAATAAGACCCTGTGTGTTGAGGTAATTCTGAGGGTGACTGTTGCAACTGGATCTTGAACCACGATCCCTTAAACACAGTGGAATCAGTAGGTGAGCCCCCTGACAGTTGAACTACTATTCAATTTTACAATGCCCATTGGAAAAGGTGTCAATTTCCGTGGCAGAGAAAATTCCCCTTTGTTATGAGCCTGCAGCTCCTCTGTGTCACACATCCTAAATATCACGGGAGACTCCTTCACAGGCACACAAACTCTGTGATC